GGGGACCTGCCAGCGAAGTCAGAGGAGAGATCGGAGCCTGAACTCAGCAAGGCAGCTGGGGGAGTCAGAGGAGAGTGGGCCGAGAGGGATGAAAGAAGGAGGGGATGTAAGGGCCGAGGGAGGCAATGGGGTGGACAGGCAGCTCGGGCCTGAGGAGGCCCACACACAAACGCACCATGTGGGTGTGTGAACCGATGAATGAGATTTTTGAAAAGCAGAGCTGTGTACACGTCTTTAAAAATCCAGCCCTTAAAGATTATCCAGCCCCAAACCCTCCTTTGTTGTTGTCATTTAGTCGCTCAGTGGTGTCTGACTCTTTGCAACCCTGTGGACCGTACCCTGCCAGGCTCCACTGTCCACCGGATTTCCTAGGCAAGAATACTGCAGTGGGTTGTCTTTTCCTACTCCAGGGGATCTTCCAAGCCCAGGGAACAACAACCCTCCCCACCTGTCTCCTGATTCTTTACACCGAGAAGCCCCCAAATCCTCCTTAATGGGGAGGAAAATCAACATCCAGGTAGGGAACACTTGCCCAGTAATCTTCAGGGAGTTAACAGCCTGAATCAAGCAGGCTCGAGTTGATTCCTGGTTAGAAACTGTGTGATCTTGGGCTAGTTAGTTTTTCATTCTGAGTCACAATTTCCTCATTGATAAAAATGTGGATTGTAAGAATGAAATGAGGTGATGTAGTTACAGCTGGCTCCATGGGCCTGGGTACGGGAAGGGGGCTCGGTGGATGTGACTGGTCTTTATCTTCTTTTTCCCAAGACCACCCCATCTGTCCACCCCTGTGATGGAGGCTACATCATGACCGGTGTGGTCAAAAGTCATAGGGTCAGCTGCGTGGGTGCTTGGGGCTGGTCAGTTCACAGGGGCTTTTGAAGTGTGGGTAAGCTTATTTTCTTATCAACCACTCAAGGGAGAACAGAAAAAAAAAAATGATGTCAGCTCAAGACTGAAGGAAAAGTAAAAACAGGGATTCAAAGGAGGGATTCAGAAAAGTTTAGAAGCTTAGAAACAGCTTTGGAGAAGGGAACGGCAACCCACTCCAGTATTTCTTGCCTGGGAAAATCCCATGGATAGAGGAGACTAGAGGGCTATAGTCCATAGGGTCACAGAGAGTCAGACTGGACTGAGTGATAAAATAGCAACAATGTTGCTGAAACAGCTTGGTTCCAGTTTTCTGGGGACTGTAGAAACAGCACTGGACAGGGGATCGGGAGCTTTCTCTGATCCTTCCTGCGGTCACAAAGATACTCTGAATTTACCTCTGTCTGCCCAGATGCAGGAAAGGGAAGGATGATCGGCCTTGCCAGGTCTCTACCAGCCAGGGAGGTCTGTGTCTGGACTGGAGAATGCTTTCTTTTGCCCGTCTGGCCAGCGTGAATGGGAAATTCACTTCCCTTTCTCAACTCCCATCGTGTGCCCCTTGGGGATTTTACACAACACTGAGGGTGTTCTCTGGGAGCTGGGGCTTTCTAGGTCACCCTTGTTTATGGTTCCTTTAAAACCCAGAGACAAACTACCCCTTAATTCATGCGCTGCCTGGAAGGGGAATCTGCCTTTCAAAAATCCAAAGGAAGCCATTAAATCAGGTTGGTAACCACTGTGACTCACCATGAGCTTTCCTTCATAAAAAATGAGTCAGAACGACTTTCCAGGAAGTTTGGTTACTTTAATTAGCTACCTCTTTTTTTCTTGCCCTTAAAAACATGCAGTAATTTGACAATCACCCAAGTATGGATGTTACCAGCTACCAAGCTGAGCCCCTAAAAGTGAAGGATCTGGGGGTAGAGGTGTTCCAGACAACATGGACTAAAGGGTCTCCTTGGAGTGGAGGACCCATTAAGAATTCTTCCCTGAGTGGTGGAAGAAAGGAGCAGGATCAATACCTAGGGTTGACCCTCGAGGCCTGGGTGAAGGGGTGAAGGGAGCTCTAGCTACCTGCAGCCCCAAAACACTTAGCAGCAAGGTTCATTATATACATTGCATCTTTTTTTTTTGGCCGGGCTCATGACATGTGGGATCTTAGTTACCCCACCAAAGATTGAACCCATGCCTCTTGCAGTGGAAATTCAGAGTCCCAACTGCTGGACCACCAGGGAAGACCCCAGAATCACAAAACCTTAATGATGTCACTTGAGGAAATGATGGCCACAGCTGTCATGACTGTGCTAATGGCTTTAAACATACCAGTTCTCAACCTACTTTCTAAGGATGTACATTAATTGTCCCCTTTAAAAGACATGAACTGGGACTTCCCTGGTGGTCCAGTGGCTAAAACTCCATGTTCCCAATGCAGGGGGCCTGGGTTCAATCCCTGATTAGGGAACTAGATCCCACATGCTGCAACTAATCAGTAATCAACTAATCAACTATGTGTAGCCAAATCAATAGACAAAAATAAATTTTAGAAAAAGATGAAACTAAATTAACTTATCAGATCACACAACCAGTAAGCAGCAGAGCTGTTTTCTTTACCCTACATCTGTTTGATTCTAAATCCATACTCTTCAAAGGTTATCTGTTCCTGCTTCCTGGGGAAGCAAAGTGGTCTAAGGTCACATTTTGAACTGACAGTCACTGGGATGACAGTTGTATTTGAAAGATCCAGTTTACGTTCAGATTCTTGTACCTACAACCTAGTCTGTGCCAGCTCCTACACTCCCAGACAGGAGGCCGGAACTGTGGAGATGGCCAGTAACAAATAAACCTTCCTAATCCCACTCAGTTGTGTCTGACTCTTTGGGACACTATGGGCTGTAGCCCGCCAGGCTCTTCTGTCCTCGGAATTATCCTGGCAAGAATACTGGAGTGAGTTTCCATTCCCTTCTCCAAGGGATCTTCCCGACCTGGAATCGAACCTGTGTCTCCCGTAGTTCCTACATTGGCAGGCGAATTCTTCACTTTCCTGGTGGCTCAGCAGTAAAGAATCTGCCTTCCATGCAGGAGACTTGGGTTCTATCCCTGGGTTGGGAAGATCCCCTGGAAAAGGAAATGGCAACCCACTCCAGTAGTCTTGCCTGGGAAATACTGTGGACAGAGAAGCCTGGTGGGCTACAGTCCATGGGGTCGTAAAAGAGTCGGACATGACTGAGCAACTAAACAACCAATCCCGTCTCAGGATCTGAACCCCCTCCATCTCTTGGCTCACTTTTCAGGGTTTTATTATAGGCCCTTCTCACTCCCGACACAGGCACCTTGACTTGGTCCCATAACTAATAACAGAGCTCCAGAGCTAGCCTGCTAAGTGCACTCTTCCACCCATATGGACACTTTCTTAACTGTGTCCTCACATACCCAGGACAATATACCTGGCCCAGATGAACAGAGTTGGCTCCAGCCAGCCTGCTACAGGGGGAAGGTGACCCAGCTTCTCCTGAAACAAGGCTTCTGGACTCTCCTTTTTCTAGGGAAGAGCTCAGAACAGTGACAGGCCTGATACTCTTCAGGAGAACTGCTTTGAAAGCCTTGCTCGAGTTCTGGAGATTAAAGGCAATTTTCTTCACAACTGGGAAGAACAGATGCCCCACTCCATAGACCCTATAGTAGCACATACTCAGCTAATAAAAAAATTGACAAATGGTTGTAATTGGCCCACTCTCTCCTAACTTAACTGTCCCCAGACACAAAGCAAAATATAAAACCTGTGCCACCACCTGTGCAGGCAGACAGTATCAATACTAAACTGGGGAGGGGGACGGGCAGGAAAGTTTATGGTAAATATATCCTACAGATGCCTCCACAAGACCCCTAGTTTTCTTGTCCCTGATCCAGAGGCTTTTAGCTTCAAGAATGGAACTAGACTGGGACTTCCCTGGTGGTCTAGTAGTTAGGAATCTGCCTTCCAATGCAGGGGATGTGGGTTCCATCTCTGGTCTGGGAACTAAGATCCCACATGCCACAAGGCAACTGAGCCAGCCCGCCTACCCTACAGAATCCATGGGATCCCATGTACCACAACTAAGATCCAGTGCAGCCAAATAAATAAATACCAAAGGGGGGGAAAAAAAAAAAGAATGGAATGAGACTGCACCTGAAGACTTGGGAAAAGATTTTAGCTCTGGGGGACATCGATTCTCTTCCACTTCTAATTTTTATGCCTCTAATGATCTAGATGAAAGACTAATTGAGGTCTTGTTGGGATGCTATTAAAGTTATTTGGTGGTGTTACAATTTATACTCATCTTTCTTTAAGTTCTTTTTAATTATATGGAGCTTTCAAAGTAAGGACGTCAGAGTTAAAAGCAGGGAGCTATGAAACTTTCTTCTCAATTCTTTTCTGTTCTTTTTCTCTTATTCACAAAGCAAAATCATCTCCAGGCACTAAGCCTTCCTTTCTGGGTCTATTTACCACCCACATGCATGTAATTTGGAAGACGAACACTTGTACATGGGCCTCTTTGGTTAGATCCTTGAGTAGGATTATTGAGAAATCTGGGGTTAAAAGGCCTTAGTTCCCATTTACCAAAGACAGGTTTTGCCTTCCGTCAGCCAGTAGCATCTGGGAACACAGCCTGTTGTTTCTAGGGGTCTTGGAATGGCAAATGAAGAAGTGAATCTCAGAATGTTCCTGGGGGTCCGGTGGTTAAGATGCCAAGCTTCCACAGCAGAGAGTGTGGGTTCGATCCCTGGTACGGGGACTAATAATCCCATATGCTGCATGGTGCAGCCACTCACAAAAAAGGTGGGGGGGAGAAGGAGAAGTGAATCTCCTCCATCACTTGTTTGTTTCTAAGGATCTAAGGCCCTATCCTAGCCTAGTTCCAGAGACTTTGCTCTACTGTAGACCAATGTCTACTGTTCAAAGGCTCCAGGGTCATACCCCCATCTCTAGGGAACCTCTTCATTTCCTGACTCAGCCTTTGGGTCTTATTGGCTGAAAGACCAAGCCAGAAAGGATACATGAAATGAATAAGAGATTCATGATTTGATGAATTCCAATAACCCTCTCCCGCCCTTGCTTTTCTGTTTCTGTCCCCAGAAGAGAAGACCCTTACCTGTGTTCACCTGGCTGAGAGCACTTCGAGCATCTGTAGAATCTGCTATGTCCCCACTCATCTTGATATCTGCAGGGAAAACACAACTGATTTTAATAACAGGTCACAATTTTTCTCACTCTGGCATATGTGGCTGTAACTAAACAGTGAAGAGGAATGTGTAATTACAACAACCATCAGACTTTCAAATTCCTGATTCCTGAACATACAACTATTAGAATATTCATAAGCTTGGGGGCACATGTACTCTTCTCTCAGGCTAGCCTCCTTTCTCCCCTTTCCTGGGCTACTGTAGGGTCTCTCCCACTTTGTAGCATTCATTGCCACTACCTTCCATCACCAGGCTCAGCTGGTTAAAAATTTAAACAAGGGGAAGGGTACAACAGAGGGTGGGTGGAGCATGGGGGAGAATGCCTCCCATTCTTCATCCTCATTTCATTGGGGATCTGGAGAATGTAAGTAATTTTTAAAGTAGCATAAGAAATCCATCTCCCACCCTGCCCCCCACCCCCACCATAATAACTCTAACCTAGGAGGTAAGAGTACCCTTGAACCAAGGCCTGCCCTTCTCATCTTTCTCTCCCAGTCCTGCCTCTGTTCTCTGCCTGATTCTCAGAGGTCAGCCCACTGTCTAGGGAGCAAACCCTAGTATCTGTGTGGCCCTCTTTGGGAATCCTTACCTTCTCTCCTACTCCTTCAACATTTGCAGTTCTTAGTAAGAGAGGGGCGGTGAGCGGGTCAGTGCCTCACAGCGAGAGAAGGCCTGCACAAGGCCCCCGTCTCAGTCCCCAGGTGCTGCTGGTCTGGCCTGTCTGCCCTGCTTCATTTCAATAAATTAAACATTTACCCACAACAGACAGCTGCCACTACCTAAGAGGCCCCTAAGTCTCCTCCAGGGTGCACAGAGAGAAGGAAAGATGTAACTTTGAACTAACTCTCTTTCTCTAGACTCCTCTCCTTATTAAACCACTCAAATACTGAAGCCGTTAAAGACAGAAGAATATTTTATTCAAATTGGGTTGACCCCCCCCCCAACTTACCCCCACCCTCTTCTCTGGGGCAGCATTTTAACTCTTTCAAATCTGATAAAGTCTGGGTGAGCCAGTTTGCATACCCAGCTCCCCAGCCAATGTCGGGTAAGCAGGCCATCTTCATTTGCATCAGGTAATCAGGCAGTTGGCAGTCTGGATGCCTGAGGTCTGGAGAGGATCAGGATGAGGGAGAAGAGTTGACCTCCCCCCAGGGGAAAAGTGGGAAGAAACTCATTTATTTATTTAGTTTAGGGCAATGACGTGTGTGGCTCTGGCAGAGATTTAAATTGTGGTCCCAGGGGTAGCAGTGACCGCAATGCAGAAGGGGTGACTGTCACGCCAAGCGAGACAGAGATGGGGAGTCCCGAGGCTCTCCAGACCTTGGACACCCCAGCAGCAGGGGAGGGTGTAAGCAACTTTAGGAGCCACTGTAGTTTGAGGAGTATTTTTGAGATCAGCCTAAGTGACCACTCCCAGATGAATGCATGGAGCCCGGTATAGCCCGCCTCAGACATCCACGCTGTCCTGTGTGGTTACAGACCTCGAGGGGAAACCCTGCAACCACACCCGCCACCCCTCTCAGTGCATGACACTTGAGAAAGCATTTCTCTAGCCTAACCAAAGTCCTTCCTGCTGCAGTTTTAAACTTTCTGTACAATCTGTCATGCATAAATCTGCAGCGTAACTAGTGTGGGCCACCTGGACACGCCTGCAAAGGATTTCTGCTAGTCCTCACTTTCTGCTCCAGTGGGGAAATGGGGTTTGCTTTGTCCTACCAATGAAGTCCCACCCTTGAGCTGGGCATTGCCTACCACAGTCAGGCTCAGTCACACTCCCCCATAGGGATTTTCAACAGTGCTGAGAAAAAGTCAGAGACTGATGAGGAAGCGGGTGGGGGGGGGGTGAGTTCTCACCCTCATTGGGCTTTTAAACCTGCTTCAGCGTCCTGGGAATGCAGAGTACAGATTTTGACAGCAGACAGACAGACCTGGATTTAATCCCAGTGCTATCCTAACTAGCAGGGGGAATCCTGGCCACACATGTGAACCTGTTTTCTAAGCTGAAAAAAAAAAGATAAGGAAAGAATGATACTTCCCAGAGTTATTGTGATGAGCAAGTAAGATATTGAATGAAAACGGCCTGGCACAGCACTTGGCACAAAGGAAGCACGTAATAAATGAATGAACTAACCAGATACTTAGGCTTCAATGGGGTCCCCTTCTCCCATTACAATAAACAACTTTGGTTTTCTGTCTCAGCACTATCATAATTCGTCCTTTAGGTGGAAAGGCATCTGCATTCTCCAAATTCTGACTTCATTAGAAAAATGCTCATGGGAACAGGAAGAGTTTAAGTAGTAGTGAGGCTGGGATGATAACCAAGTATTCTGAATCAACTTATTTCAAACTTCTGACTTTTAAGAAGGGTAACTTTTTAGCTCAACTGTAATTTTATGCCTGTAAGCCAGACTCTCCTCTAAAACCCATTCCCTGCACCATCTTTAAATCTATCGCAAAGCCATCTCTCTGACCTTTTAAATTAGCATTAAAAGGTAGTCCTAATCATATTGAAAAATAACTTTTGAAGGAGTCAAAAGCTCCACACTCTACCAGGACATCTACTCGTTTGATGTATCCATCATGGGAGCAACATCATGATACTTTGCGATTGGACAGAGATGTGGGTCTGCATGGAGGGGCAGGCTGAGATGATCTGTAAAAGCCCTTAAGTGCCATAGGATGCTAAGATACTGAGAACCTGTTCCTGTTGGGTAGCAGGCTGAGGCTGACGGGCAGAATGAGCTCTTGGGTTTCAGCCTAAAAATGGGCCAACACCGAAACTCCCCGAGACGCCGTAACCCTTTGCCTGTCGGACAACACTTGCCGGAGGTGAGTGGGGGAGGCGTGGGGTGGGGCCAGGCTTCTCTCTGTTCTTATCTCAGTTGGCACTGAGGAGGCTCCTTGCCATCACTCCCTTCCCTGGGGAGGCTCAGCTGCTCTGTGTAAGAACCCAGATACCAGACAGCCCCTCATCTGCCTCCCTGGCGCCGTCATTCTCTGAAGCTGGGGCAAGGTGTTGGCTGCTGGCCTTGCCCTCCTGACGCCTTGGCATGACCCAGCAGCAGCCCCTCCTGACACATCGGTGAACCAGGATGTGTGTGTGTGAACCTGTAGGAGCAGAGTCCAAGGGGCAGCACTTCCCCAGGCTGCGGGCTGGGCGCCCACAGTCCTGGGCCTCCTGGGCCCAGGCGACCCTGGGAAAGCAAAAGGTCCACTCCCCTCTCTCCTACGGTCCATCTTCAACTCTTCGGAAGGGACTGGAGCTCCTCCTGGCTTCTCCCTCCCACACCTACCGCTGGGGGCACGTCTCCCAGAGGCGATTCAAGGGGCCTATCAGTCCTGCTTCTAAGCTAGCCATGTCTCCAGCTCTTGTGTGGAGGAGACAGCTCTTGCCTCCACTTCAGGAGAAAGGCACACCCTCTCATGAGACATTCCAACCCTGGGGTCCCGAGCCATAACTGGTATCAGTCTGTGAGACTTGAATCTTCTTTCCCAACCCTGATGGGGAACAGCTCACAGTGAGGAAAGGGGCAAAACAAGAGGTGCCCTGGGACTAACTAAGTGTCCCCCTTAGGCTGAATTCCACTGTCTCCTCTGTCTCTTCTGCCTGAGGTTTTTGACTCTTTTTTTTTTTTTCTGGCTACACTGGGTCTTTGTTGCTGCACATGAAATTTCTCTAGTTTCGGAAAGTGGGTACTGCTCTCTAGTCGCTGGGTGTGCAGGCTTCTCATTGTGGAGGCTTCTCTTGTTGAGGAGCACAGGCTCTAAGCCGAGTGGGCTTCAGTGGTTGGGGTGCACGAGCTTAGTCGCCCTCAGGCATATGGGATCTTCGCGAACCAGGTATCAAATCCCCATCCCCTGCACTGGCAGGCAGGTTCTTAACTGCACCCCCAGGGAAGCCCTCTGTCTGACTCTTGTCTACCCCTCCACCTGTTTGGGGCCTGGGAGGGAGCAGCCCCTCTTTGGCTGGGGTGCCCTGTGTCTGGTGACCTCATGCATGCTCGGGCGTTTGTGTCGAAGGAGAGGCACTCTACAAAATACAAAGTGCTGAGACCCCAGGCAGACCTGGATCATGGCCGGCACCCAGGTTATCAGAACGAAAAGACGGGCTGGCACAGGGGCTGACATGCTCGCGGAGCCGCTGAGTGGGGGGCTCCTGGGTAGTCAACACCCTACTTTGTGTGCTCCCACTTCCCCTCCAGACCCCACCCCAAAATGTTGCAGTAAATCAGTGCAGGAGGAATCCGCAAGGGCTCAGACTGGGAACTCGCAGGGCAAGTGCTGTTTATAAAGTATCCACAGGATGCAGGATCACTGGGAGGGAAAAAACAGGGTTCAAAGGAGACCAGATTTCAGGATTTTCCTGGTGGTCCAGGGGTTAAGAATGCATCTTGCCAGCCTGAATGGGACGGGAGGAATGGATACAAGTGTATGTATGGCTGAACCCCTGCTGTCCACCTGAAACTATCACAACATTTTTATGGTCTATACTCATATATACATATATATATATATATATATATATATATAAAAGAATCCAGCTTGCAATGCAGGGGACAGGGGTTCGACCCCCGGTCAGGGAACTAAAATCCCACATGCCATGGAGCAACTAAGTCTGCACATCACAACTAGAGAGTCCACGTTCTGCAATGAAAGACCCTAAGTGCCACAACTAAGACCCGATGCAGCCAAATAAATATATAAATAACTAAAAAAAAGAGAGAGAGAGACCAAATTTCTGCAAAGAGGATCCTGAACTGAGAGACCCTAGAGAGGGGTCCACAAGGAGACACTCCATAGATGGACCCTCCCTCAGAGACCCCACAGCAGGGTCCTCAGTGAAAGACCCTAAAAAGACAACCTTGGAGTAAGAAGCCCACTGAGAAGACCCAGCAAAGGGAACCCTCAAATGGAGACCCAGTCAGAGAGGCTTCACAGAAAGTCCCAAACTGAGTGATCCCTTTGAGGTGCTGTCAAAGGGGAACTGGACACCACAGAAGGGCCAAGAAACCTCACAGGAAGGCTGGACAGCCCCAAGGGGAGACAGGCTGAAGAAGTGGGCTGGGGAGTGGCAGCAAGCAGATGTAGAGAGATGACTCAGGTTGCCCGGGTGGATGCAGACCCCACCTGAGGAGGCAGCACCCCTCGATGTCTGCCTGCAGGGGACAGGGCTGGGGGAGGTGCCGGGCTTCTGATAAGCATCAGCCTGGAGCTTCCTCCCAGGCCAGGCAAGGAGGGCTCGGCCTCCTCACCTCAGCCTCACCCTCTAGGGCTCTCGGCAAGATCCTCTTCACCCTCAGGTGGCCTCCCTGCTGGGTTTCAGGGTCCCCCCTCCCCCTACTTCCCCCAGAGCAGGAGCTTCCAGAAGACAACGAGGTGGAAAACCCCCAGGAAGTCTCTGATCTTCCTGAGGTCTTGCTCCCCGTGTGTGCTGAGGCCTTCTTGGTGGGAAGTGAAGGAACAAGAGCCCAGGATGGGCTCCTGGCCACGTTCAGCTCCATATTGGTGCTTCAGGATCTGGAAATGGACTTTCCCCAAACATTGGATGATACCCAGTTGGATGGTTCCTTCCGCCTCACCAAGCCCTTCCTGGCACATCCTAGTGCCCAGGGATCCACTCAGAGTTAACACCTCACTGTCAGCTGGCTTTCTCTCAGCCACACCAGGACTATGTCTGGGGAAACTGGAGTCCCTGGGTCTCCTCCGTGCATCCACTGCTGCTTGATTTCAGGACTGGCCGCTCCAGGAAGGGCCTAACTCTCCAGCCTGCCCTGCTCCTTGGGTTGGGTCTTGAGAATTGCTTCCTCCATTCTTCCTCCAGAAAGCCAGGTAACAAAATTCCCACCAACAGCCCTGAAGTCCTTAATAAAGGCCATGCATTGGGTGCTGCCCCTTTTGAGAGGCAAGTCGCTGGTTTGAAATGGCCAAACCAGGCTCAGCTTTCTTCACCTGGAGTCCTTCTCTACTCAGGCCCTCAGACCTCCAGAAGGCCCACTCCGACACCAAGTCCAGCCTCTGGTATTAGGAGCTCCTGTCCTCCCCCAGATGGGGAAGGAGGGATCAGCGGGGTGAATGGAGAGGGCCTTGGTTCACTCCATGCCCACAGACCTTTCATGAAGGGGAAACTGACTCCCAGAAGAGTATTTCTATGGCCTAGGTTCCCACCCCTGGGGAGAGGAGAGCTTGGAATCGAAATCTATGGGACATAGAACAAAGAATACAGGAACTGGGTACCCCTGGGTCTCCCCCGCCATGCACCCACTGCTGATGTATCTCTCACATCCCCTCTCAGAGAGAGAGAAGGACTTCCCACAGACCCCTGAGCAGGCTGCTCCTCCAGTAGGGTCCCACAGAGCTCCGGCTCAGCCCCTGCACATGGACTCCCCAACCCCGCCGTGCACCAGCCTATAAGGTCACCTAGATCCACACAGCTGGGGAGCAGGTACACCTTCATCCATGGGGTCTGCTCCATCTTCTCTCCCAACATACCTGAGGACAGGTAGACTCCCCTCTGATATTCGCCAGACGTACTTCCCTAAGCCCTAATCAATACATGTGCGCCGAAGCAGCTGCCCTGGTTGTGCCTCTGTAAATGCCCAGCTCTGTTCGCTTCTCCTAGGCACCCTTAGACGGCACAAATGTCCATTTGGCCTCCACTTCATATAAATGCCGGGGACACCAAACACCAACATGTGGATACAAGTACTGCCCTCACTTCTGTGCTCCCAGGTCCACACCCCTGGTTGAGCCAGTGAGCCACACTTCTGCAGTAAGTGAACAGGGCAACTTTGCCGAGCCTAGGACAGCCCAGCAAGCCCGGGTCCCACACAGCTGTGGCTCTTGGGGTGCTGCGAGCCTTCAGAAGCCCTGCCACCCCCACGCTGTAGCCCCCACCTGCATTCTTCCCCCAAGCCCCCCAGACATTCTAGGCGCCCGCCCGCCCTGGGTGGCCCGCTGGCCACACCGCCCTCTCCTGGCCTCAGGGGAGCAAGACCCCCGAGAGCGGCGCCCCTGTCCTTCGCCCCTTCCCGCACGCAGGGACACCTGTCAGAGCTCGCGCCCTCCGCCCCTCACCTGGGTGCATGGGTTCCAGATTCACCATCCTGCCCCAGGCAGGGCCAAAGCCAGCGCCCCCCCAGGCCCCTCGCGTCTGCCCCAGCCGGGCCCCGGGGGAAGCCAGGGTCTCCTGCCTCCTGCCCCCGGCCGCCACCGCCGCGGGAGCCGCCGCCGCCGCCGTCGCGCGCTCGGCTGCTCGCTCTCGGCCGCCCGGGCAGCGCTCGGCGCGGCAGGATTGCCACACTCCCCAGGTGAGCACGCCGCGCGGCGGGCGGCGGCCGCGGGCCACGCCCCCTGGCAGGGTCCCCGCGCCTGGCCCCGGGCCCAGGCAAAGCAGCGATTTGCATTCGGGGAGCCGGGGGCCGGCGGAGGGGGCAGTCCGTGCTGCCGGGGCGGGTCCCGACCCTGCGGAACACCTGTCCGCCCCAGACCGGCCGGCGGCCTCTCCCCACCGCGCCGGGCCCTCGGCGACCCAGGCTCCCGGTCCGGCTCGCCGTATTGAGGAATCCTTGGAGGATTAACCAGCGGGGGCCTGAGCTGTCGTCTGGACAGATGCCCCAGCCCTTCGAGGAGTTCTGGAGTGTCTGGAGAAGCCACAAGAGTGTGCTGGAAAGAATCTAGAGTTGGAATTCTATCTCTCAGCCGCTTGCCCGCTGTGTAACAGAGTAGGCTTATCACCTCCCTGAACTCAGCTTACTCACCCATAAAATGGGACAGGTGCTAATCTTAACTGCATCTAATGATAGGAACTTAGCAGGTGCCCAAGCTCACCTAAGTCCCCATGCCTCCTCATCTCCTCCTGGGACCTGGATGGGGCCCAGCTAATTATCACGTCTTCTAGGTAAAGATTCTGTCTCTTGCTGCTCTATCAGGTTCCAGGTTGCTGTGAAGCTCTTTGAGAGGATGATGTGAAAGTTATTTACTGAGTGACCGGGGCTGTGGGAGCAGCCACCTCCCTCACGTACAGAGCTGGGAAGTGACTTGTCCAAAGGCAACACAATACCCTAGTGATGGAAGGAGCCTGGCTGGGGGTAGGATCCTGGCCAGGGGTAGGTCTCTGGGCTCCCACTCAGTGCTCTCTCCAGCACCCATCCTAGACTCATCCTCTGAGCTCCCCTACTCTTCTGCTCCACTCTTCAGGTCCCAGTAACAGGTGCCAAGGTCAGGAGACGACCTGCCTATAGGCCTAGGAAGCTGGGCGCCCCCGGCAGAAGCAGTCCTCACCTTACCTTCCAGGCAGGTCTCCCTATCAAGCTGCTTACAGAACAGTTCTTGGACTTTTCTGCCTCTATGCATTGTTTGCAGTATTTTTTCCAGTTGGTATATCCACCCACCATCCACTCCCATAATCCCCATCATAACATCCAGCATTTATTGAGCTTTCAGTGTGTGTCAGACAGTGTGCTAACCAGCACTTTAAAGGCACTTGATCTTGTTTAGTCTTCATAACAACTACACCCTAACACACTGGACTGTTATATTTCCATTTTACAGGTGGGGAAAATGAGGTTTAGAGGGTTTAGCTTGCCCAAAGTTACCCAGTCAGTAAGTAACAGGGCTCCTATTTGAAAGCTCTACACTCTATTCCCTCTGTACATAATTCAGATGCCACCTCCTTTCTGAAGTTAGAAGTTACCTGATCTGTTATTAAATTACCATAACATTTCAATGTTCTTAATAGCTCTTGTGGCCAGTTCTGTGGTGCTTTTCTTATTCTTCCTCCTGGTTGTTAACTGATTGTCTTCCCCATAGCACCAAACACCATGTAGGGTACATGGAGTCAAAAGGGCTCCGTGGGTGCCACAGTGGCCCTGCAGGGATAGGAAGTGTTTAATAAGCACATCTTCGGGTCCATACAACCACTCTCCCCCAGTTGCACCTTCCTTTCCTCTCCCCACCCTTGGCAAGAAGGCAGGAGACTTTCTTCCTATTTCTTCTGGCAGAGGAAAGAGACCAGTAGCTTTTTGGAGGCCTCGTGAACCCAGGGATGTCCCCTCCCCCATCTGTCTCAGGATACTGCCAGCCTGTCCCTTCCTTCCCTTCTCTTTCCTCTCCTTTTCCTCCCCTCCTCCACTTCAGGTTTGGCCCCAAACCTGAGGCCATTGCTTATCTACAACTGCACTTCACTTACCATCATCCTAGAAAAATGCCTGCACATAGTTTATATACCTGTGTGTGCTTGTGATTTCCATGTCTCTATTTGCATACTATTTGCATAGCCATGTGCACCAGGGGTCTGATTCTCTGACCATCATTATCTGGAGCCTGTGTCTCTTTTCTATGTGCGAAGTTACATTTCTTTCCGGGGCTTTACTTTTCCAGAAGCCAGAGGAACATGTACCTAATGACTTCTAAGGGACTTACTGCTCTAGCAGCCTAGGATTCTGGGGTCCTGGGGTTGGGAGGGGTGAAACTCCTGGGGATGGGGCCACTGGGGAAGAGATGGGGCCTTATAGGTTCATAGTTGGAAGGACAGCTGTGGGTTCCAGACCATGGGAAGGGAGATTGTGTGCGGGAAGAGAGATTGGATGGAGGATGGGAGGGTGGGGGAGAGGTGGCAGATAGGACCTCATTGTCATTCATTTACTCATTCATTCAATAAATATTGACTGAGCACTTCCTATATGCCAAGGAAGTTCTCCATGCTGGGCATATGCCTCCTTACTTAGCATACCTTTAAGAGAAGCATACAATTTTTAGGTTCCTTTTATAGATGAGGAAACTGAAGTTCAGGAGGATTAATATAGCTAGTAGATGGGAGAGTAGAAATTTAGACTAGGTCTGCCCGACTCCAAAGCTGGTACTTTTAATCCTGCTGTCCAACGTCTGAACCTGTCTCCTCTTCTCTTCTATGATCATATCACTCAAGGTGGCAGGAACATAGAAATAATCATATGACGGACCTTGAGGAGCCTCTCTGAGGTCCACAAGTGGGGAAGACTTGCCCAGGCTTTCCAAGTGGCTCAGTGGTAAAAAATCCACTTGCCAAAGCAGGAGACACAGGAGATGCAGATTCAATCCTTGGGTTGGGAAGGTCGCTTGGAGAAGGAAATGGCTACCCACTCCAGTATTCTTGCCTGGGAAACCCCATGGACAGAGGAGCCTGGCGGGCTACAGTCCCTGGGGCCACAAAGAGGTGGACTTAGCTATGTGACTGGGCACGCATGCACACAGGACTTGCCCAAGTTCACACAGCAAGTATAGGAGGAACAGAGACCCTCTATTCTCTCTGTTCCTTCTTCACATGTTCTTCCTGGGCCTTTGAAAGTTGGGTGGGGTGAGGGGCAGTGTTGGATAATTTTTGTTCCTTCCCTTTCTGACTTGCTTGATGATCATTTTCACTAGATGAACTGGAACAGGAGTGCAAAAGACCCCTTTGTCCCTCCCTCCTTCGTGGAGACTGTGAGTGCTTCTATGGAACGCTCATGAGTCTCCATGAAATCAGCTCTCTGAGTTCTGGGCAGATGGCAGGTGGTAGGCCCCAACCCCTGGGGCCTAATACTCACTCCATTCCTCTGTTTAGTGTGGAAGAGAAAAAGCTGTGGGGAGGGGAGAGAGATAGGGAGTTGCCTGGAGGTTGGAAAGGAACAGAGTAAAGAAAAGGGAAAAGAAGCAAGGACAGGAAATTTCAGTGCCTTTGGACATCAAAAGCACCACATGCAAATCACATGTAAATTTTATGCAAATAACCCCCCTCCCTCCTTTACCCCCACCCTCTCAATAGCCGGAGGGCTTTTCCAGAAAGCAGCCAAGTCTTTGCTCCAAGATCCTGTTGTCCCCAAACTGTGATCAACTTGGATCCCTCCTGGGGTCCTTCTGGTCCTCCTGGGGTGACGTTTGATCCCCTCGGCTGCACCTCTAGGAAGTCACTAGCCTCCCAGCCCCATTTCTACTTGAGCAAGCTGTCAACTTCTTTTGCTTCAAGGACAGAAGGCTCTGGGAGTTAAGTCTACCCTTCCAGACACATTTCTGGAAACAAGCTTTACCCCTGGAGAAGGTGCTTGGGGAGGGAGGTGGGACCACAGCCCTGTTCCCCACCTCAGCAAAGTGTACTCCTTGGCCGCAGGCCCTCCAGCTCACTCTCATTTCCTGTCATGTCAGCTGGATTGAGTTGTCAGGACTGGGAGAAGGGTGGAGAAGCCAGGCAGCCTGGAAGGCCACCAAGTAACAAGTCTCATCTCGTTCTTTCTGTCTGCCAGATGGGCTGTAGGGCCCGGAGTATAGGGGTGTGGGGTGGGGGGTCAGCCCCCTGCCGTGGGGTGACCAGAGGGAACAAGATTCAGCTCAGGCTTCCCACAGGACCAGATGGAAGGAATCCTGGGTGGGCCTCTTTTAAAATCAGACCTAGAGTCCCTCTGATGGCACCATTGCCAGGAGGCGTATTGGCAGAAAGGGGATGGAGAGGGTTAGTGTCGGGGTGACAGAGGGAGAGGGGCTCTGGGAACCAGAGTAAAGCAGCTTTCCTGGGAAGTGGACAGGAGAGGCCACGGTGGTCAGGACGTAGCTGTTCCCTGCCCCTGATAGCCCCAGTGCTGAGCCCCACCCCCGCACCCCCACCCCCATCTAGGGGGGGTACACACAAACTTGTTGCCCGCTTTGCTCTTGAAGTTCTCAAATAATAGATCATAATATATGTGTTTAATTTTAAAAGAGCCTAACAACTCTGATCTCCAGTGAACTCTTTTGACCTTGGGGCCAGCATCGGTCCAGGGTCTGGCTACTCTAATCACAACTTCTGCAGAGCCTTGCCTCAGTGAGCCCTTGCCTCCCCCAGACCAGGTAAGCCTCCCAGCCCCCTGCAGGCTCAGGGCAAGTCTAAGCCCAGGGCGCCCTCTTGTGGTGATGGGAGTGTGATCCTGACTCGCGCCCCCGCCCCACCTGCTCCTCCAAGATTCTGGAGAGGTCTCCCCACTGTCTCCTGTGGTGCCTGTCCATGTCTGGGAGACCCACAGGCAAGGGTCCCAGTTCCATACCAGTTGGAGATATTGAGTGTTAGTTTCAGGCCACTGTAGGGTCTTCTAGTCCATGCTTCCCAACAAAGGCCAGACTTGACCATGGAAAGCCCAGTTGGAATCATCCAATCACTGC